CGGCCCCAAACCCATCATCAAATCCACCAACAACTTCTCCCTCTCCATCGATGGCTCCACAGTGCTACCCTTCCCCCACATCCGTAACCTTGGTGTCATCTTCGACCCAACGCTCTCCTTGGACAAACACATCACCAAAAAACAGCCTTTTTCAATCTTCAAAACATCGTCCGCCTCCGCTCATCACTCTCGTTTTCAGCTGTCGAGACCCTCTTCAAATCTTCTCACAGAAGTTTCCAACCATTCGTGTTGTAAAGTTGGTTGAGGTCAACTTCAGGATGGGGTTAAAGAATATTCTTGTTGTTTTGCTTTGACCTTTAATTGTTCATTCTGGACACTGTTAATGTTATGGCACCAACAGGCCACGGAAGAGGGTTCCTCGTGCAAATCTTCATCCAAAAGCCTCAAATTTTTCCAGCTCGTGAAAATGTTGAGAAGTCGTTTTGTTCCCATTTGAGGATGTTTCAGTCAAACATTTCGATTTTTTGAATTTCATTGTTTAGTTTTTGTTTGCAATGTAAAATTTACGGCACCAACAATTCCTGGAAAAGGCCGACGACATCCAGCTCCACATGGCCACCAAAGCCATCAACCCTGCCACTCACTCAATCCTCACTGACTGCATCACAGAAATAAAATCCTGGCTCCAAACCAACTTTCTCAAACTCAACTGCAACAAATCAGAAGTCATCATCATCATATCGGCCCCAAACCCATCATCAAATCCACCAACAACTTCTCCGTCGCCATCGATTTCGCCACAGTGCTCCCTTCCCCCCACATCCGTACCCTTGGTGTCATCTTTGACCCACCTTCATCTTCGACAACCACATCAAACACATCACCAAAACAGCCTTTTTCCATCTTCAAAACATCGCCCGCCTCCGCTTGGACAAACACATCAAACACATCACCAAAAAACAGCCTTTTTCAATCTTCAAAACATCGTCCGCCTCCGCTCATCACTCTCGTTTTCAGCTGTCGAGACCCTCTTCAAATCTTCTCACAGAAGTTTCCAACCATTCGTGTTGTAAAGTTGGTTGAGGTCAACTTCAGGATGGGGTTAAAGAATATTCTTGTTGTTTTGCTTTGACCTTTAATTGTTCATTCTGGACACTGTTAATGTTATGGCACCAACAGGCCACGGAAGAGGGTTCCTCGTGCAAATCTTCATCCAAAAGCCTCAAATTTTTCCAGCTCGTGAAAATGTTGAGAAGTCGTTTTGTTCCCATTTGAGGATGTTTCAGTCAAACATTTCGATTTTTTGAATTTCATTGTTTAGTTTTTGTTTGCAATGTAAAATTTACGGCACCAACAATTCCTGGAAAAGGCCGACAACATCCAGCTCCACATGGCCACCAAAGCCATCAACCCTGCCACTCACTCAATCCTCACTGACTGCATCACAGAAATAAAATCCTGGCTCCAAACCAACTTTCTCAAACTCAACTGCAACAAATCAGAAGTCATCATCATCATATCGGCCCCAAACCCATCATCAAATCCACCAACAACTTCTCCCTCTCCATCGATGGCTCCACAGTGCTACCCTTCCCCCCACATCCGTAACCTTGATGTCATCTTCGACCCAACGCTCTCCTTGGACAAACACATCAAACACATCACCAAAAAACAGCCTTTTTCAATCTTCAAAACATCGTCCGCCTCCGCTCATCACTCTCGTTTTCAGCTGTCGAGACCCTCTTCAAATCTTCTCACAGAAGTTTCCAACCATTCGTGTTGTAAAGTTGGTTGAGGTCAACTTCAGGATGGGGTTAAAGAATATTCTTGTTGTTTTGCTTTGACCTTTAATTGTTCATTCTGGACACTGTTAATGTTATGGCACCAACAGGCCACGGAAGAGGGTTCCTCGTGCAAATCTTCATCCAAAAGCCTCAAATTTTTCCAGCTCGTGAAAATGTTGAGAAGTTGTTTTGTGCCCATTTGAGGATGTTTTCGTCAAACATTTTGATTTTTTGAATTTCATTGTTTAGTTTTTGTTTGCAATGTAAAATTTACGGCACCAACAATTCCTGGAAAAGGCCGACGACATCCAGCTCCACATGGCCACCAAAGCCATCAACCCTGCCACTCACTCAATCCTCACTGACTGCATCACAGAAATAAAATCCTGGCTCCAAACCAACTTTCTCAAACTCAACTGCAACAAATCAGAAGTCATCATCATCATATCGGCCCCAAACCCATCATCAAATCCACCAACAACTTCTCCGTCGCCATCGATTTCGCCACAGTGCTCCCTTCCCCCACATCCGTAACCTTGGTGTCATCTTTGACCCACCTTCATCTTCGACAACCACATCAAACACATCACCAAAACAGCCTTTTTCCATCTTCAAAACATCGCCCGCCTCCGCTCATCACTCTCATTTTCAGCCGGCGAGACCCTCTTCAAATCTTCTCACAGAAGCTTCCAACCGCTCGTGTTGTAAAGTTGGTTGAGGCCAACTTCAGGATAGGGTTTCAGAATATTCTTGTTTTTGATTTTTTACTTTTTCCTCGTCAAAGTTGTAATTTTTTTTACACCAACAAGCCTTTGAAAGTTTTCCTCCAGTTAAAGTCTTATCAAAACAGCTTCCAACCTTTCCTGTTGTAAAGTTGGTCATTGCCAACTTCAGGATGGGGTTGCAGAATACTCTTGTTTTTATGTTTTACTTTTTATTTTTCATTGTCAAAGTTGTAATTTTTTTTAATACCAACAATCCTAAAAGTATTGCTCATGTGGCAGTCTTCTCACAGAAGCTTCAAACCTTTCCTGTTGTAAAGTTGGTCATTGCCAACTTCAGGATGGGGTTAAAGAATATCCTTGTTGTTTTGCTTTTACCTTTATTTGTTCGTTCTCGACACTGTAATGTTATGGCACCAACAGGCCATGGAAGAGGGTTCCTCGTGCAAATCTTCATCCAACAGCCTCAAATTTTTCCAGCTAGTGAAAATATTGAGAAGTCGTTTTGTTCCCATTTGAGGATGTTTCAGTCAAACATTTCGATTTTTTGAATTTCATTGTTTAGTTTTTGTTTGCAATGTAAAATTTACGGCACCAACAATTCCTGGAAAAGGCCGACAACATCCAGCTCCACATGGCCACCAAAGCCATCAACCCTGCCACTCACTCAATCCTCACTGACTGCATCACAGAAATAAAATCCTGGCTCCAAACCAACTTTCTCAAACTCAACTGCAACAAATCAGAAGTCATCATCATCATCGGCCCCAAACCCATCATCAAATCCACCAACAACTTCTCCCTCTCCATCGATGGCTCCACAGTGCTACCCTTCCCCCCACATCCGTAACCTTGGTGTCATCTTCGACCCAACGCTCTCCTTGGACAAACACATCACCAAAAAACAGCCTTTTTCAATCTTCAAAACATCGTCCGCTCATCACTCTCGTTTTCAGCTGTCGAGACCCTCTTCAAATCTTCTCACAGAAGTTTCCAACCATTTGTGTTGTAAAGTTGGTTGAGGTCAACTTCAGGATGGGGTTAAAGAATATTCTTGTTGTTTTGCTTTGACCTTTAATTGTTCATTCTGGACACTGTTAATGTTATGGCACCAACAGGCCACGGAAGAGGGTTCCTCGTGCAAATCTTCATCCAAAAGCCTCAAAATTTTCCAGCTAGTGAAAATGATGAGAAGTTGTTTTGTTCCCATTTGAGGATGTTTCAGTCAAACATTTCGATTTTTTTGAATTTCATTGTTTAGTTTTTGTTTGCAATGTAAAATTTACGGCACCAACAATTCCTGGAAAAGGCCGACGACATCCAGCTCCACATGGCCACCAAAGCCATCAACCCTGCCACTCACTCAATCCTCACTGACTGCATCACAGAAATAAAATCCTGGCTCCAAACCAACTTTCTCAAACTCAACTGCAACAAATCAGAAGTCATCATCATCATATCGGCCCCAAACCCATCATCAAATCCACCAACAACTTCTCCGTCGCCATCGATTTCGCCACAGTGCTCCCTTCCCCCCACATCCGTAACCTTGGTGTCATCTTTGACCCACCTTCATCTTCGACAACCACATCAAACACATCACCAAAAAACAGCCTTTTTCAATCTTCAAAACATCGCCCGCCTCCGCTCATCACTCTCGTTTTCAGCTGTCGAGACCCTCTTCAAATCTTCTCACAGAAGTTTCCAACCGCTCGTGTTGTAAAGTTGGTTGAGGCCAACTTCAGGATGGGGTTAAAGGATATTCTTGTTTTTATGTTTTACTTTTTTATGTTTCATTGTCAAAGTTGTAATTTCTTTTAATACCAACAATCCTAAAAGTATTGCTCATGTGGCAGTCTTCTCACAGAAGCTTCAAACCTTTTCTGTTGTAAAGTTGGTCATTGCCAACTTCAGGATGGGGTTAAAGAATATCCTTGTTGTTTTGCTTCTACCTTTATTTGTTCATTCTCGACACTGTTAATGTTATGGCACCAACAGGCCATGGAAGAGGGTTACTCGTGCAAATATTCATCCCTCCAAGGTTACATTCTTTTTCAATCTTCAAAACATCGCCCGCCTCCGCTCATCACTCTCATTTTCAGCTGCCGAGACCCTCTTCAAATCTTCTCACAGAAGTTTCCAACTGCTCGTGTTGCAACTCAAACAATGTGGACCAGTGTGTTGAGGAAAATGAAGAGCTTGCAGTAAAATGATCCAGTGTCGTAAAACTGTACACATGATTAAGACTTGGATTAAAGTAAATATTTTAATTTGTCGAGAAAGGCTTTTTTCTTTTACAGCAACTCACAGATCAGGAAGTTTAAACTGTGATGTTTGTGAAGAAGTAAATCTAAATAAATTTAATAACAAGTTATTTTGATTCTTGAGTAATCATTTCCTTCAGTTTTCAACACAAAATTTCAAAGATGGCTGGTACCAGCTTCCTAAATCTGAAGAAGAGAGTCATTCATGATTTGCGATGGAGAGTTATGAAATGATGATGGGACAAAATGAAGTTACCTCAAGCTTTGCATAGTTGTGATTTTCTTAATAGTTTAATGTAAAAGATGAAACAGTCAATTTATTGCCAAAAGAAACAGCAGCTACACTGATTATGAAAATAATCTTGAGTTGCTGCTGGAGTTTAAATAATAGAGAAAAACAGAAGATACAGGAGAGTTGTTGAATGATAAAGGCTCTACACCGGCTCTACACCGTTTACCAGCTCTACACCGTTTACTGTACTAACTTGAAGTACAGAAGAATTATAATTGCACTTGCTGACGATCTTTACAAAGATGTCTGTGATGTGTGAAGCTGCGACTTGCTGCTTATGCCGAGGTTTTCAATCCTCATATGCTCAACATATAAAAAATGATAGTACGACTGCATTTCCTTTTCTCGTTACGCTTCTGAGTGAGAAATTGAAGCTGGAGAGAGAGTCAGCTGCCTTTTGACAACTCTAAATAAGGCACCGTCAAAAAGGTACGGAGAGATGACAGAAGGCACAGCTTGGAGCAGAAACAGGCCGTGTGAAGGCAGCAGTCCTCCAGTCTGCTTCCATGAGGACACTAGAAGAGGACCTAATAATTTATCCAGCTCATTTGCTCTGATTCGGAGTCAGAGCGATCAGGTGAGATCCATCTGCTTGGTTTTCGGGAGCAGCAGAGCCACCAGCCCTCCGGTCAGAAGCATCGCTGACACCAGCAGGATCGGCACGGAACAGTTTGTGTCCACCAGCTTTCCGAAGACTATGTTACCCATGATTGCCGCCACCCTGCCCACTCCGGTGAAGAAGCCAAGAGCAGAGGACCTAAAGATATAAAGAAGAAACACAAGGACATGTGAAAAGCTGCGGACCAATCTACTGACTCTAATTGAACAAGAGCATAACCTGACAGTTTCCCCCAAACTGTGAGGAATCATGCTTATTGAGTTTAAGAAAGAAAACTTCTTTACCTGCTTTAAAAAAACGAAACCACACAAACCTTTCTTATTCCTAAAAACTTAAAGCATGTGAGGAACGTTTGCTTTGTGTGTAGCTTTTAGTGCCCCCTGTGGACAGAGCAATGTTTCTTCTCTCTTCAAGACTGTATGTCTGCAGCCTGACTGCTCTCCTCTGTGCGCTCTCGCCTGGATGCCTGAAGCCGAGCCCCCTGAGCTTCTAATTTTCAACATAAAGCTCAGGAAATAAAAATATCTGTAGTGTACATGTGATATATGACAAAAACATACTAGGTGCTTACACATTCAAGACTAAATAAAAAATAAGCAATTTTGCCATTCTATATGTGTGTGTGCTTTTTTAGTTATATATAAACACACAGCTCAATCAGCAGCATCAGTTCATCTGTTGAAAAAAAAAAACACGGTGCTCTAACTCTCCCCTCTGTGTGACTCATTTGTACGTTTTTTCATTCATACGTTCATTTGGGCTTCTTGTAAACCTCGGGCGCGTGAATCCATCTTCTTCGCCGTCTTTTACACTGTTGTTTTCTTTTGGCGCAGTGGTAATGTTTGAATTAATTATAGACTGTAAATATTAATTAATGCGCGAGTTTGTAAACTGCTTCTTGTCCCAGCGCACTTGCCGTTGTGAATTTCTGGAGGAGCAGGGCGCCAGAAGACATGAGACGAGAGCACACAGACGAGAGAGCGCCAGGATGCAGCCATACCTGACTCTATCTCTTAGCTGAACCTGTCCACACGTACTGGTTTTATTTGAAGAGAAATATCATCCTGCAGAGTTTATAGTCTAATGCAGTGACTCCCAAAGTGGGGCGTGGGACCTCTAGGCGGGACAGGAGTTATCAATGCACCCCATTTTTCACTTCTAGCAAGAGAATAGCTAATTTTGTCAGAGGACAAAAACAAATTAGGAGAAAGACATAAAAACATGTTAGTGCATTTGTTCACAGTCAGAATGTAAAATATAAGGAAAGAGTGAGTCAGAGATAAAAGCTAAATTTGATTTATGACACATATCATATTTTCTATTCTGTCCACTCAGACTGATCAGATGAGCTCGCTGTGTGACTCTCATGTTGGAAACTATCTGAGTAATTAAAAAGATGAATAAAATAAAAGTAGCTCAAAGTCCAAACAGACAGAAATCCTAACCTCCATGTTTAAGTCACTTTTAAGGACTGTGGTGTTGTAAACAGGAAAAGGTTACCGTAGATGTGTGGGGTAGAGCTCTGTTCCCACCACGTCCAGAGCGTTCCAGGCCACCACTGACACGCCACTGAAGACACAGGACAGGATCAGACTCTGGTACTTGGTCTGGACCACATAGATGAGGAAGACGCTCAGACTGGAAACCAGCAAGCTGCAGGCTGGAGACGCAACAAAGGGGAGAAGAGGTTCAGGACGGTCACACATGATTCATCAGTGTAAGTCTGAAACGGCCGTTCACATGGACAAACATGTAAGGAAAAGAGACGTGTAGGTTTTTTTAACAGACTTCTATCCTGAAAGTTCTGAGACTAACACGTCAGTGATGCCAGAAAAAGCATCGAGGAGGATAAACTAGGTATGAACTTTAAAAACAAGCTGGTACCAGAGAATAAAAGCCTTCAAAAACAATAAAAACATTTAAAAGTTTTTGAAACTAAGTATTAGTGGCTATAACTGATAAGTTGTAGAGCTCATTTTGGAAATGCAAAAAAAGAAGATATTTTTACAAATTTTGAAATCAAAGGAAGTTTATAGTTTATATTGATGAGGAAACTTAAAACTAGTGATGCAATGATAAACTCAACATCTGATAGGATACAAATCACATCACTGGGTTCTTGATACGAACTTATCAACATTTTTTATGTTTTTCTAAATTTGTAAATACATGTGACTCTTATATTTACATTTTCTGACAATTAATATACAAAAGATCCTTTTTTCCCAGATAAGTTATATCTAATTTTGAGTTTGTATAGTTACTAATAACACAATGCATGTTTTTTTCTGTAGAGAAAGTGAGACTGATAATTTCTCACAAAGCACTGACATCTTTAAAGTAAAATTAATTTAAAGGTCCAATATGCAAGATATCTACTGAATTAAATCATTTAATTACCTTACTACATCATCAGACATTAAGGAAACATGTCCTCCTTCAATTTCAGGGCACTATTTGGGTAGTTCATTTGTCTTTTAAAAATGTTCCCAGTTTTGTTCTTGTCCGCTCAACTTGCTTTGAAACAATTTACTTTCAACCACAAAATCTTCACTTGGTTCCTCCATGTCTGTACTTCTCTCTTATTTAGGGACTGACATTAAAGAAGTGATAGCACACTCATATTTTAAGTCTCACCAAACCCTAAACCTTATCTGTATCAATATAATAATCCAGACATCAGACTCACAGAGCAGAACCTTTCCTCCTGTGCTCTCCATCATCAGAATGGTGAAGAGGTTTCCTGGTAAGTTTGACGCAGCGATGATGAAGCCCTCCATGTACACTGTAAGGACACAGACACAGTGAGGTTATGTTCAATCAGGAACAAGAAAAAAAAAACATTCATACATTTTATATACAGGCGGATTTTCTCTGGTTCGCAGAGAGTATTCAACATATCCCAGCATGCATTGCAGTAGTCCGAGTTTAAAGCATTATACTCCTGGAAAGAACATGAAAGAAGATAAAAGAAGAAGATATACTTTATTAATCCTGCAAGGGGTTTTTTAAACTGTTCGTTGCCTCACTTAAGGGCACCTTGGCAGTGCTCAGGAGGTGAACTGGCACCTCTCCAGCTACCAGACCAGTTTCCAGACTTGGTCTGCTACCCCAAGTCCCTACTGACTGAGCTACTGCTGCCCAGAACAAAGTATACTTAGCTACAATCTATACACAAATAAATGTGTTTTTTGTTCATTTATTATTGCATACTATATATTTTATATATTCTGACCTTTTCATTGGAATAAGTGAAATATATAGTACAGCAAAGAGAGAGCATTAATGTCAGTTCTGAAATAATTGGCCAAACACTTTGTACAGGGAAAGGCCAGTTTAAGTTTCTACTCCACTGATGATACTGGACTAATGCAATCCTTTTCAAAATAATATGTGCCTTGCGCTGATAAAACAGATCCTGATTTCAAACATCCTACTCATTTTTGGCTTTCAGTTACATACTTTAAACAAAACCATCAAAACTTTAGACTTTGTTGTCCCCATGGACAATTCCACCGCCCCGTTTCTGTCTAACATAAAAAAAATTCCCACCAAAGAAAAGTACGGACACAAACCACAGACTATAAAAGTTGAGTTGAGTGTCTTTGTACAACTACTGTGTGCCGCATCTCTTCAATAATCCATTTAAGGGCTCATAAAGTATTCAATTGAAAATGTACAAATTAAAGTTACATAATCATTTCACGGTAATAATTAGGTCTTTATCTTGTTTGGAGAAATCTGTTATGTTCCTGTTCTTGAGTAGTAAGCTTTCTGTCAGGAGTCTCTAATATTCTAATTATTTCTAAAGAGGCTCTAATTCACCTGAGAAGCCTGTCTCTGGAGTATGATGTAATATTTAATAAGATATAAAAAATGCCGTCGCCACAGAAATAACAAACAAAAATACACTCAAACCTAATTGATCCAGGATCGCGTTTCTTACTCAGCTCATTTGTCCCTAACAAGAAAAACTTTTATTACATATTACCTACAGTGACCATGTGTCTAAACAAGACCCTGAGGACAGTGTGTGTGTGGTCTCTAAGTCCAGTGTTTCCCACAGAATGATGCGGTGGAAATCAGGGTAGGGATCAACATACTTTATTTTTTATATCTGATTTATTTTTTAATATTAGGTTTGTATTCATATCAAAAAACTTCCACTCGATATTCCGTCATTTATAGGAGTTCAGCAGTGTTCGGACAGTGGACCTTATCTATCCCTCGCTCTCTCTCTCTCTGCTGATGTGATTCTGCACTCTTGGTTTTTCTGCGCAGGAGTCGACAGGGAAGTTTTTTTTAAACGGGAGATTTATTATGTTACAAGGAGCCGTGGCCTCTCTCTCATGCATGCAGCAATTTTATGAATACATTAAAAATGTAATAAAAACAGGTCAGAAATATACTTGGGCAGCCCGCCCAGCTATCGTCTACGTGTGGGAAACACTGAAGTCATCATGTTGCATTTGTCAGGTCTCGTGTAACCTTTGTTTTATGAAACCTCTGTTCCTCCTCTGGAACTATCTATATATCATATCTCCTCAAACTTGCTGCCTGTTACTCTGTCATTTATTAATTCTTGAAGTACGTCATTTCTTCTCTCTATGAGCTTTAAATTGGCTGTTCAGATGAGTTCTCTATTTGCTGATCAGAAGTTAAAAGAAGAAGATACACACCTGCTGTCTTTACCGGATAACAGCTTTGGTTTTGCATTGGACGTGGAAGCGACATGTTCCTGCAGGGGGAGCCGCCGCTTTCAAGTCTCGCAAACAGCTCGGGGAACCACATCCACAGCCCGTAGTAACTACAAACACACAAACATCGATAAAGTTAAAGGGGAAACTGATGACAATAGTCACACACACACAAAAAATGTAACATTTTTTCAGCAGGTTTTTGAAACAGTGATTTTTGTAACATGATTCCTGGTTGTTGAAGATGAAATATTTGCGACTGTTATCTCTCACGACTGTTTAATGCTGCAGAGCAGCCTGCTCTAAGGATCAGGGTTCTTCCCTCTCTTCCAGAGTTTAGGAATTTGATTTCGAACCACTTTGTTTCAAATTGTAACTGTTTTAATTGATCTCAGTGGTTTTTGTCACTGATTCTGAGTGTTTGTTGTGTTTTTACTTGTTTTACTGTGCTTGTAATCTCGACGCCATTGGAAATGAGGGAAACCTCAGTGTCCTTTCGAGAATAAATAAAGGTTTGAAAATGAAATGCTCTAGATTAGTCACATCAGCAATGTGGAATACACATCAGAATACAAGCCCTGGACTTGAATACAATCCAGAAAACAGGAGAGCAAAGACAGTATGAAGAAGGTGCAGATGGGATCTCTCACCCGAAGGAGATGCAGAAGAAAACGATGAGCAGAACAAAGCTCCTGACTTTGAGTGAACCCTGAAACATCTGTTTAATGGGCAGCAAGGCCTGCAAAGCAAACCAAGGATGTTAGTACTTATTACATCTCAAGATAATGAAGTGATAAAACATTTATTAACATTTAAGAGGTAACATGTTGTAGTCTGTGAGACTATTAGGAAGAATGAAAAGTAGGCCTGATAAGACCATCAGTCCAAATAAAGGAC